TTTACAGTCTAAACCAGGGGTGTCAAACTCAAATACACAGTGGGCCAACATTTAAAAAATGGGTACTAGTCGAGGGCGGGACTGGTTCAATGTTTATTGAAATGAACTTATTGCACATATTAAACCTGGAACTAACAAAGCTTAAATGATTGCCTATAAAAACAACATTAAATAATCAGTTCATTCATTTCTTATGGCTCTATCTGCAGCTTTTCCAGAGTCATTTCTTATGATTACATTTTCCCACAGGCCAACAACAGCTTCAACAAAACTATTTCCCTCAAAGAGAAAACCAAACATGCCCTGTTGTCGTGAGAGAGAAAGTGCAGAAGGAAACATCCATTAAACTCAGTGTGCTGCTCTGTGATGCTAGTTCAGATACTTGGCATCTCATCCTGGGTGCAAGGTCATCAATGTTTGGGCTCAGGCTCTGAGCTGAGGAAACCCTCAGGATGGAGTGAAGGTGTGCGTGCAATATACCGGCGGGCCAGATCTAATAGGAATTAGAAATTATCCTGCGGGCCGAAATAAATCCACCAAGGGCCTGATTTGGCCTTGAGTTTGACACATGTGCTCTAATGGGACTCCCTGATAGTTGAACATCGATGCTAAAGGGCCCCCCACTGCGTTGATATTGACGCCAAGGGATCCTGACATATGACGAGTTGGGAGTGAGGATGTGTAGTACATGATATACATTTGCTTAACAAAAATGTGTGTTATAGTGAAGTAAAAGTCGTGACAAGGCTTGCTTGTCAACATCCAGGTATTTCTGCACTGGTGGGCCATGCTAACAATACCATGTCACAATATCAATCGATCCAGCAGAGCAATAGCCTATAGGCAAAACACAGAAGATCAACTAAATATATGCCATAAAATGAATTTACCAAAGCTGAAGTAGGTGGTCACCTTCATTCATTTTCTTTCCATTTTAATGATTGTAATCGCTATACGCTGCTCTCTCTCGTCTGCTCTTCACGCACTACAATTTTCGTTGCACACGTACTTACAGCCAATCAACTCTCTGAATTATGTGAGATGACGTGTGGTGGGTATGGCAGCTCAGTGCCACTATGGTGATTCTTTTTTTTTTGCCACACACATTGAATAGAAAAAGACTCAGTGTAGCATGCGCAGTGTAGTTTTTACAGCACCCATTCACTTTGACAACAGAGAGAGGGGCTGTTCGGGGCTTGCCCCACATCGCTCAACACGGCTCAAAAGGCACACTGTAGACACTAATTAGAATAACACAGACTAAAACAGCAATGAACAGACGAATCAGATGATTAAACATGATCTTAAAATATATTTTAAGATGTATTCTTTTGCATTTTTTAAAAATTATTATTTTAACTACTTATTACTGACACTAGGTGGGGCTGTGCCACTGAGTTTGACACCCCTGTATTAGAGGCTCTATTGAAACCAATACAGATATACATATCAGCAGAAGGAGATAAACAACATGCGCAAAACAGTGAATATATTTTGAAAATGTTCGGATGTGTAATAGATCATTTGTTTATATATAATTTGTAAGTCAATAATATTTGTGTTTATCAATTTGATACTGCTTAAGTTTGTATAGTAAATCAAAAATATATAATAATAATAATAACAATAACTTGAATTTATATAGCGCCTTTCATAACCTCAAGGTCGCTTTAAAAATAAGCATACAAGGACAAGACATAAAACATACAAAATAATGATGTAATATCATTATTAATACCATTATTAATACCCCCCCCACAGGACCCTGTCATCAAGTCCCTGTCCAGCAAAGTATACCAGCATGTGTGCACGTACCAGGACTACCACTACATGACCTTTGACCTCCCTGACTGCCCCCCCGGCATCGACCCGACCGTCTCCTACCCGGTCGCTCTGAGCTGCCACTGCGGCCGCTGCAGCATGGAGACGTCCGACTGCACCTTCGAGGGTCTGAGGCCCAACTTCTGCATGAACGACATCCCTTTCTACTACTAGAGACACAAGAACTTCATGAACGAAATCCCTTTCTACTACTAGAGACATCAAAACCTGTAATAAACTGAGGAAGAACTGTGTGAGTGTTCAGCATCAAGTGAGGTGAATAAAGAGTGTTACGTGTATCAGTGGAAATGTGTATTTCCTGTTTTTAGTTCAGAGGCTTTATTGTCATGTGCACATAGCTACTGAGTATATGGCAATGAAACACTTTAACACCTTTAGTATACTGAGGGGTTTCC